AAATTTTTATAAGTATTGGAGAATTTTTTATTAATTGACTTTTGATTTTTACATTCGACAGAAAAATTAAAATTTTTTAAAAAAATATATTTGCCCCACAATTGACAAAAGTTACTACATAGGTAAGTCTAAATTTTACCAAGCAAATCGATTAAAATCGCTTAAGTAAACTTATTCAGCAGATCAAAATACACTTACCACAAAATTTTCATAAGTATTGGAAAACTTTTTATTAATTAACTAATTAAAATTTTTTAAAAAAATATATTCAACAAACATAATTAAAAGTTAAATAATAAAAAAAAATTTTTTGTATAGATGCATGTTGCATTAATGCTTGCATACTGCATGAATGCCGCATTTGCATGAAATTTTTTAAAATGCTGCATTTTGCCTATCTCTAGTCCTAAGGACGACAGATAAGTATCCGGACCTGGCTGACTGACTGCTTATGTAACGGGCCTGTTCCGGTGATACAGGATGGGTTGGCAGGAAGAGAAGGAATCAGAGTGTTTAAATAGGCAATCCCCTAGTCGGGTTGCAGGTATGGCAGCTAGTGTGAAACCCGCGGGGTAACCTTCGGGCGGACTAATTAAATTAGACGACCAAAAGTTGTACGTATGGCTAGTTGTATTCTCGTCAATATAACAAATGCAGGTGGCCTTTAGTGGAACACTGATCCAAATATCCTGAATAAAAAATTCCTCAGTCCCAAGGTGAACACTTTAAAAAAAAAAAAAAAGAAATACAAAATTTAGATCACGATATGAAAAAAAAAAATAAAAAAAAAATCTATTTACCTGCAGATCTGATCTAGATCGAATCGGGTATCTAGATCGAATCGAGCACTCCGGAGACAAGCTACCGGTATATGATCACCAATCTTAAATCTGATTGGCTGATTATATGGGGTCGCCATGGCGACAGGTCGCTATTTATAATTTTCCTAATAATAAAAAAAATAAAAAAAATCGAAAGAAAAAATATTAAAAAAAATAAAAAGTTTTAAAAATAAATTAAAAAATACCGGTAATTTAAAAAAAATCGAAAATAAAAAATAAAAAAATTAATTAAAAAAAAATTTTAAAAAAAAATTAAAAAAAAATAAAAAAAAGCAAAATAATTAAAAAAAAATTAAAAAAAAAACAAAAAATCAATTTAAATAAAAAAAAAATTTTTAAAATAAAAAAAAAGACAAGACCTCCGGGTCGATAGCATAGCGGTTATGCTCTGAGATTGCAAATCGCAAAGTTGCCGGTTCAATTCCGCTTGGCTGTAATTTGGATTTGATAGTCAGAACCCCGATTTGGAATAACCGAAGTCACAAGATGTAATGTGAGGCCGAAGTCTGATCACAAGATACTGCATAAACTTGTAGCGCTGCTTTCCGGTTTCAGGCAGGACGGTAATACCAACGGAGAAAAATATAGAAAGTTACCGGTTTCCGAGTAGGAGTCGAAACAACAAAACCGGTGACTCTCAGCCATGGCCGGGTAAAACCGTCGGGGTCGTCATACTAGTTACGGAAAAGATAGATATCAGGACATTGCAGGGGTTTAATGGTAACACCATGACCCCAAGTATTTGTTGGCCACGGTTATAGCGTAAATGGACTGGTATACCGTATCCGGGCATTAATGATACGGCAGGAGGGGAAAAAAAAATAAAAAAATAAAAAAAAGAGATTTGCTATTTATCGCCTGCATTATCATCGCCGGCATCACGTGGTCGGATTCGACCAATAAAATTTAATTTTTTTTAATTTATCATTTTATTAAATTTTATTACTAGTTCATATAAAAACGTAGTAATTACATAATATATCAGATATGTAATAAATCTATCAGTATAAAATACTTCGACCTCCATAAGAGCACATTTTCGCAAGTAAAAAACACACGGTTGCATAATAACGTCACGTCGTTGCTCATGAGCATTTTACCTGTAACTCTAACCCAACCACAAATACTAACTAACCATAACCCTAACTCTACATCTACCCAGTGTTGTCACTTGAACGTTTTTTGGACATTTTGGACATTTTTTTAAATTAAAATTATTTAAAATTTTATTAAGTTAATCTATTTTAATTTTTTCACCAATGAGTCCAGCACCTAAAAAAATATATAATTATATATATTTTTTAAATTACTTTATTGATTAGTTAAACATGGGACATAGGCTTGGACGATTTTGGACAATCTTGGACGTTGGACAAAAAAACATAGTATGGACATGTCCAAGTGACAACACTGCGTCTACCTAACTACGTTTACCTAATCGCCTATTCTAACCCTAACGTCTACCATATCGCCTATTCTACCAAACCCTAACCCTAACGTCTATCTTATCAATTATTCTACCTAGCTAGAGAAAGTTCGCGAAAGAAATAAGTAATGAAATGCAAGAAAAAAAAAGAAAACCTACAAGAAAAATTTGAATACTTACAAAGAACCGACATGAAAACTATGAGAAATAAATATCAAATAGTTGACACTAATAAAGAAAGGACAACACCAACACCGAAATTGAACGATATCAACGACACGAAAAATATACCGAAACAGGCGAGCGCCAATAACAAAGATACCAAAATGAACACATTATTGACAAAACCTATCACTAAAATATACGACTCCAACAATACAAAATGAACATACCTATGACGAAAGACACCAAAACGGTCGATACCAACGATGAAAAAGACGCCAAAACGAATAATACTAATGATGAAAGAAAATGACACCAATGATGAAAATAAACAACACAAGCAACGACATCAACGACGAAAGAAAACGACACCAGCGACGACACCAACGACGATACCGGGGACAATATCAACGACAAGAATAGCGGCACTAAAAAACTAAAAAAAATACTAATTAGTAATGAAAAAAACAACCCAAATATTGAATTGTACAAAAAAAAATACTTATATTTATACGCCGATTGGCTGATTGTGTAACTGGCGATGATCACTGGCGGCGATATGTAGTAATTTTGTATAAAAAAAATAAAAAAAAAAATTAAAAAAAAAATAAAAAAAAAAAAAAAAAAAAATTAATATGAAAAAAAAATTAAAAAAATAAAAAATAAAAAAAAACGATAAAAGAAAAAAAAAAGAACGATATAAAAATTTAAAAAATTTAAAAAAATTTAAAAAAATTAAAAAAAAACAAAAATTAAAATTAATTAAAAAAAATCGTTAAAAAAAGTTTAAAAAAAGTGAATAAAAAAACGTGTTTGTTTTATTTATTTATTTATTGTTTCCTGCGCATATATGCAATATGGTGAGAATAAAAATTCTGGCCTTACTATGTGAATAACTGGAAATTTACTTTTATTTCCACCATTGCATATATGCGCTATAGATGCTCTATCGCTAGTTAATACTGTATTTATTGGGTACCCAATATATTTCAAATTAAAAAAATTTTAAGTAGTAAAAATTAATTTTTTATATCGTAAAGGATAAATTTTTTTGAATATATAGAATATATGCATTGTAAACAATGATTTAGAATTATAATATATGTAGATTTAAAAATTATTTTTATTACATATACCATCGGGTACCCGATATATCCAAACTATACGATATATGTATGATAGGTCACCGATATGTAGTATTTTATATATTTTTCAATTATAGTAATATGTACCCGATAGGTACCCGATATATTGGTTTTTGACCTGTGCTATGATGGTACCAGTGTTGGAAATCTTATGTTCTCATGTTCTCATGAGAACATCACTTTTATTCTGAGAACATTTACAAAATTTAAGATGTTCTCTATTAAATTTTTTTTGAGAACATTAAGTTTGAAAAATATGTTCTCTATGTAAATATATAAAATAATAAAAAATTATTTTTATTAATATAGCAGTTTAAAATAATTAAGCTCATAAATATTTAATTGTTAGTTAGTTGAAATAGAGAACAATTTAGTTGTTCTTGAATTATAAAAAATTTTAGATAATATAGTTTATTAATTTATCCATTTCTAATTTGGTGCAATATAGCCCTTATTATGTAAACTTTGAAATACATATAATAACTGAAATTTCTGAGAGCTAAACTCACTATGATGATAATTTTTATAAGAAAATTACTTAACAAATCTTTAATTATTATAATTTTAAACTTTAGTGCTATATCTTAAAATTTTATAGTGAGAAATTTTTTGAATCTATAAATTCACTATAGTAAAAAAGAATAGTATATTATATTTACTTATTTATTTAAACATTTGAGCGATATTAATAGCTTAAATATATAAGCTAAGCTAAGCCAATAACATCTCCAACAATATACAAAAAACCTAAAATATTAATTTTAAAAAAATTTATATATGAAGTTATAATCTTATTATTATGAATACAGTAACTTAGCTTTATTTATAGTTTGTTAAATAAATTATATTTTTTATTAATAATTTTTAAATCCTGACAGCAGTAATAATTGTAGATAGAATAGAAGTAGAACTGATAAAAAGACAGAAGTTTAGTTATTATTGTGAGAATCTGCTTCTAGAGCAGTTAAATAGAAATATTAGTGTAGCGGAAAAGTCATTAGTATTTTATACAGACAGATTATTGCACAAAGAAATTTCAGAAAATGGAATGAGTTGTAAGCAAGGGTTAGGATGGATACAGGTCGGTAAAGATGGAAAGAAAATGATCCAAAAGGGAACCTCAGTATACAAGGATGGCCTTCTTCGACAAGGACTGAATTAGCAGCAATCTGGGTAGTCTTATTATTGTCTCCGCAAGATAGTGTGGTCAAAATCTATACGGACAATACAGCTGCAATCCTAGGAATTAATGGTTGTGAAAGGCACAGATCGAATAAAGAGTGGCTATGTCAGAAGAACTATAATTTGCTACTCAAGATTTTTGATACAAAACGAATTAAAAATTTAAAGGTGGAGATGGTTAAAGTCAAAGGACATAGCAACAATTATTGGAATGACAGAGTAGATGTACTAGCGAAAGAAGGCCAAGCAGCTCCTCTTCTTGTAGTACAAAATACAGAACGAAGCTCAAGAATTAGGTACAATATGTACTGGCAAAACAATCTTGTTGAAATACCAGTGCGAAAAGTCATTAAAGAAATTGAGGACACTTTGATAGCAGCAGATTGGAGAATGCTAAGCGTTTCTAGTTGGCTGGAAAAGAAAGACTACCACCGTATTTGAGCATGGGAAGGTCTATGAAAAAGAATTAAAAAGCAAAGTAGCGTGAGATGTACCTCAATGTATAAAGGAAGGAAACTCAATTTCTTGATCAAGTATCTGCACGGTAAGCTCCCGACTCTTAGTAATCTTAGGATAATGCGTCCTGATCTATATAAAGATGATATATGTAAAGTATGTGAAAAAGATGCCAAGAAAACGCAGGATCATTTGGCAGTATGTGAAGCTCAAGAGACACGATGGCAAAAGATTGAGGAGACAGTTGCCAAATTCATACTTGCGCTTCTAAATGAAAATGGGAAAAGGAATGAAGTTTCAATACAGCAGCTCCGTGATTCTCTTTTTGGTGCCAGTACGCAAGAAAAAAAAGAAAAAAGAGAAGGCCTTATAAGGGGTTTATATAAGTCGTGTACTGAAGAAGACTTATTTAAGTTAGGCCTTACAAGTAACGATGTAAAATTGATCTTGCAGTATTTTCCTCTTATGGCATGGGATTATTTTCATGAAATAATCTGAAGAGAAAGATGCGTTAAAATAGTGGAATGGGAACAAAAAGAAGGAATCCAGCGGACGCATAAAAGAAACTGGCAGGGAAAGAAGGCTCCCTTTTCAAGAAGTATCGTTGAAAGGAAGAGGCAGAAGAGGGACCCTAATTCAAGACATGCGAAAAACTCTACTAACGAAAATGAAAGAAATATCGAAGAATTAAAAAGAAGAAGGATAGAGCAGAAGCAAAATTCTTATAATTTGTGCATATCGGCAATAGGTAATAGAATATTAGTTGGTGGAAAGCCATTTTGGTGTGGCACTTAGGCTAGTTTAATATAGCCCCTAGTTTCTGAATAATCTTAAGCTAGTGCAGTAGGTTGCACTTGGGCGCCTTAGGGTAGCCGGGTGATGTCAGGCTTGCAAATTAGGAGTAAACAAGTGTATTAATCTAGTGATATACTTAGTATCTTAATAAAGTACTAGCGAAACTGCCAAAGTGTAAAAAAAAAAATAATAATAATAATTTTTAAATATATTAATTAAAAATAAAAATTAAAAATAACTAAAAGTAAAAAGTATAAGTGTGAGAATGA